ACCAATTCTTCGTACGAAACATCCTCTGGAACTTCCGGTGCTGTTAATTCCTCCATGGTCTTGTAAGTCTTTAACGGCAGAGCGGCAAGCAAAAATGCTACGTGTTGATCTGAAATTATATTGTTTATTCCAAAGAAGGAAGTCATCTGTCGAATAAATCGCTTTGGCTGTCCATCTTCATATTGCGGAGATAATAGACATGCCCGGTTAGCTTGTTGTTCGACACATTTAAAAGCCTTTTTTTTTTTGTTGTTGACATTTTCTTTTACTTATATACAAGGTTTTCCGTTTACAAAAAAAATTGTTCGCTTTATATAGCATATAATACAACTTGTGACTCTTGTCACAAGTTGTATTATATGAAAAAAGTTGCAAAAATATTGCAGATGAACTCACAAGAGTGCCAACAAAATGGATAAAAAACAAAGTTGCAACACAAGAATGTAATACCATTTATAAGTACGATAAACAGCAGATTCGAAAAATTCATTCACTAGCACACATGGGAGTTTCCAAGAGTATGGAGTTATGTATGCGCGCTGGTATCCACGTTACCACGTTACCGACCACGTTACCAGAGACACCTTTTCACTGTGTCTCTGGTAACGTGGTCGGTAAAGGTTGTCGCTGAATGTGATGAATGTAACTCGATTGACCCTAATGTGATGTTGTGGGATAAAGGAATTCTTGCTGTCAGCAAAGTATGGGAAAGAGTAGCCTGCGATGTTACTCATGTTGATTCATCGCTATATCTCACTTGTATTGATTGCGGCCCAAGCAGATATACGTTATGGACACATTAAGCGACAAAAGTGCAACTATGGTTGTTCAAGCGTTAGAAACAATATGGTCAACACTTGGACCTTCTTCTGAAGTTCTTCTAGATAACTCTAAGTTATTTAGATCTCAGCTTATGCAAACTATGGCTGCGAAATGGGAAATAAGGCTCATCTATCGAGCTGTTAAAAAACCATCGGGAAATGGAATAGTTGAAAGAGTTCATCGGACGGTAAAAAGAACAAATGCAAGAGTAAAATGTGGTATTCTCATGTCTGTATTTTTAATCAATAACGTTCCATCAAAACACGGCACACCTTTTGAAATATTTTGCCAACATCACAAACGAGTTCGAATTCCTGGAATCGATAAAATCGAATCAGCACAAAAGTTGATGACAGAGTGTCGTGAATGGAAAGTTGGCGACAAAGTGTGGGTGAAACCCAAGCACATAACGCCGTGTACGCAATGATGGCTGAAAGGAAGTATAGTGGCATTGCACAATGGTTTAACAGCTGAAGTTGATGTCAACGGACATACGCTACCACGACATTTTTCTCATCTGCAACATCGTTGTGTAGACACAAAAGAAGAAGATACAACAGATGATTATGATTCAACACTATTTAAACTTCCTGAAACGAGCTCAAAACACATTGTCAACGTTGATCCAAATCTTCAAATAATTCCTCCGGATAATGGTAAAAATGACAATAGTACGGGCAGCGATCAAAACTATTCAACAGATGGTGAGACAGAGTCACAGCCTGTTCAATTCACTCGCTATGGAAGGAGAGTACTTCCTAATCGGAAGTACAACGATTATGTATGAGCTCTTGTTGAGCTGAGGGGGATGTTGTGTCCATTAATAATTAGCGTGCTAATTATTGACAAAAGTCACAAGTTGTGATTTTCTATTATTATAACGTTTTTTTATTAATTGTTGACAAGAGTCACAAGTTGTATTATATGCTATATAAAGCGAACAATTTTTTTTTGTAAACGGAAAACCTTGTATATAAGTAAAAGAAAACGTCAACAACAAAAAAAAATGGCTTTTAAATGTGTCGAACAACAGAAAGGTTTTATGTTTATGACTTATAAATATATACACTTTATATATATATATATATATATATATTTATTTAGTTAAAAATCATTAAGTATACCAACCTTGAACACAATCCAGTAAGATATCAGTTATCAGCAATGTTATAATCTGAAAAACAGCTTTGAAATTTAGAAATTATCTAGCTTTGGCTGTATATTTTCATTTGACATTTGCGACCACAAAAAAAAACTTTTTCTTGTTCTTTTGATGATTTAAAATAGTCTGAGGAATTTTCCGATGCTTAACATTTTTAAAAACAAAATTTGTTCTGTGATTTCTTCTTTTGCAATTAAATGAGTGGCAGATAACATGGTGGACTAAAGATGATTGTAAAAGTTTAAAATTGACGAAAAAAAGGCGCAAAAAAATCTTAAAACTGCCATAATTACTTAATAGAAGTTTTTTGATTTGGTGAACTATATACATAATAATAAGTAAACTATACTCTTCCAGAAACCATCTACCTTGACTTGGACACAATTCAAAAAACCTAAATTTTGTGAAGGCTAGCAAAGTTACATTGCTTATTAAATAATATCAAAATTAATTTATTATTACAAAGTATTTTCTTCATATATGGGAAATGCATGAGAAACATGAGACATGATTGACATGAGAGACATGATTGGCATGAGACATGAGAGACATGATTGGCATGATACATGATTGGCAGAGATTTTGCATGAGAGACATGATTGGCAGATCAATGAAAACCAATTTTGCCGAAAATGGTTTACGGACTTTAATGACTAAAACGACTTTTTATTTTTATTTTTTCTCTCATAATTCCAATTATTCCTTCGAGTTAATCCATCAGAGTTATTCTATTCTGCATACGCATACGCATACATCCTATTCTGCATACGCAGAAATCTTTACTCTAGTATCTTCTATTTTTTAGTAGAGGATACTAATCTTTAGTATCTTCTACTAAAAATCAGAAGATACTAGAGATTCTACTAGAGCCTAAAAAAGTTGATATTGCAATGAACCTGCTTGAACAGAGTTGGTTATTTTTGTAACTATTTTTATAACAAGTTCAAAGGGCTGTATTTTAAAAAACAGAGGAACAGGTAAGTATTTTACACAACAGATCTTCCTTGTGTTAAATTAAGAATAATAATAAAAAATAATAATATAAAAATATTAATATAATCATAATAAGTAAAAAAAGAATACATAAAAAAATTATTATGATAAGAAATAACAGAACTTTAATATAAAACCTGCAACTTCACACCCTAAAAACACATTATAATAAGTATTAACCAAACAATAACAATTTTTTTTTTTTTTTTTCTTTGTTTATTTTTTTAATGAAATGTTTTTGTTTTTAAAAATCCTTTTTATATCTTTTATTAATTAGTTAATTATTTTTAAAGATAAATACACACAGATTGATCTGAGGGTGCTATGGCACTCTAAGACACAATGTTGAGTTTTGAGAAAATTATGTGCCAAAAATCAGTGGCAGTAACTAATTAAAATTATGTGCAAAAAGTAGCAGTAATTAATTATTATATTTAGAAGTTGCTCTTAAGTTTGAATGTTTTATGTATAATTTTAAATTATATGTAAATTTTAATTATAATTTTGACACCAGACTAGCAAATTATAATGTCATTGACATCTAGAATGAAGAAGATGTGAACAAGTACAATTTTATTGGCCTTGGCTTCTAGCTGATTTATTGTTTCCTTTAAATATCAAAATCAGCAGAGTGGTACTTTTAGGTAATCTGTAAAACTAGAAAGTAAAGACTGTTAGCCATAAACTTTGCTTTACGCTGAGCTTCAGATTATTTCAATGAAAAGTTTGGTATCTCAGTTCCAACAAAAAACTTGAAAATCTGATAAAAAACTTGAAAATCTGATATAGATAACTGTAATCACCTTTCTGCATCTTATAAAGTGCTGTAAACTTTTAATTATTTAAAGAAAGTTTTTACAATATTTGTCTGACATAAAGGCTTAATGAGGCCAGTTGAACAACACAATTCTTTAAAATTTGTTTACTTTATTGTAACTTATTATAACTTTGCAGCAAAAGATTCTGGAGAATGACATAGAGTGGTAGTTATTTCCTGTGGTAAACAATTTACTTTAACCATTCTTTGCAACGGAACTTTCATTTTTGTTTCTTCTAGGCTTTGGTCATGTAAACCTTTTCTGGATTTTTTTTTAGACTTTTTTTGCCAGGAACATATAATTAATTTTTTGCATTCAGTTTGGTTGTTGGATTTTCTCTGCTAATTTTATCAGTTTTAAATCTTTCTGAGCTTAAATTTAAATCTTTATTTGTTAGTTCTTAAAAAGCTATTCAATCCTATTGAAGCTCTGCAAAGAAAATCCAAGTATATAAAGTATATAAAGTCTCAACTTTCTTATAGCTAATAACCCATTACCAATTTTTTTTTCAATAACTTAATAACACATTTTTTTTTAGATACATTTTCTAAAGTCAAATAAGTTTAATTTATATATTTAAAGTAGTTCATGGAAGAGGTCTATCAGAGTATTTAATTATTTTACTTTGTTTTAAGATTACAAAAGATTTAAAATTATAATGTTTAGTTTAGCATATTATGGTTTCATTATAATTAAAATATAAATAAAAAAATATGCTATAACTTTCTAGAGTATTTGTTTTTATATTATTTTTTAAATAAATGTATTCAAAGTTTTAAAAAGGTTTTTGCTGAAACAAATAATTTTTGACTTGACTTTTATTTCAAATATAAATTTTCAGTTTTTATGATTTAATATTTTAAATATTGAGTCATAATAATTAGGATATAAATATTTTAGATTAAAGACAGTTTTATATCAAGTTTTTTTTATTTAATTAAAGTAAAAAATTAAATAAATCTGAATTATCCTTAAAATAAATATTAAATTTAGGAATCCATTCAAAAATTCCATTGAATCTATGCATCATTTATTCTATTTTTTGCGTTCGATAGATTAGTTTGTTATTAATCGTTCTAATATTGTTACTAAAATGCTTTTACAGTCACAGAGTAAGTAAGCATAATAAACAATTTAAAACTATAATTATTAAATTTTAATTTTTTAAATTATTAATTTTTAAGTGTGTTTGTTATGATTTATAGAAGACGCTTCTAAAATGGCTGTTCGCTACAAAGGAATTAGTCAGAAAGCACCTAACTTACCTGGTGTATACATTCAATCAACGGTATGATAAAAAAGTTTTTGTATGTATGTATATATATATATATATATATATATATATATATATATATATATATATATATATATATATATATATATATATATATATATATATATATATATATATACATATATATATATATATATATTTTTTTTAACTAGGGGGAAAACAATGGTTCTAAATTCCGTAAACAACCGAGCTTATCTGGTAAACCTCATCCACCGCCAAATCCTCCCGAAAAAACAAAAGAAGGAGAATTAACTTACCAATCTGATGCAGCTGTCGTGCATCAACCAAGTACATCAACCCCGATACCAAAAACAAAACCTAAACCTGATTCAGTTCCTTTATTAGATAAAGCGTCTGATGAATCATCTCCATCCACAGTAAAAGGTCGGCTGACTCTTTTAGAAAACAAAAATAAAGAATTACCTGCTAAAAAGCCTCTAATTCCTCCTAAAAAGCCTGGTTCAAATATGTAGTAAAACTTCTTACGTTAAAACTAATTATTATGTAGATTTTATAGTGTAAATAAATAATGCGTTTTTTAATATAATAAATGTTACTTGTTATCAGTATAATATGGTGGCAAAACTATTAAGCTTTTCGTGTAAAATAATTTGTTTAAATAGTCGTTACTTGTTCAACATTAAAGTTTCATAAAAGATGTTGTTAACATTTCAGGGGAAATGTAAAACAGATGTTGAATATTAGAAAAAAATTTTAATATAAATGTTAAAATTGAACGTTTAGAAAAACTTGACAATCTAAATTTGTTTCTTTAGCTTTTTTATTTACTGAATTTAAAAAAAAATCAATTTTCTATAGAGATTTACTTATTTCAAAATAAATGTATAGTATGTTATATATACAAATGCGATTTTTTAGTGGTGAAACGCCCTTCCATGTTATTTGTGTATATGCATGTTTTAGTTGTTTTTTTTAGTTTTTTTATATTTTTCTACTGATCAATGTAGTTTTTTTATTTTGAAAAATAAATTTTAATTTTTTTTTATAAAATTTTTTTATTTGAAAATATTTTAATCGTATTATTAAATACTATTAAAACAGTCCAGTATTGGACAAAACATTTCCAACCAACATCGAACAATGCTAAGAAGTGTTCCTAATTTTATATGTCTTAAAATAGAAACGAATTATGTTCCAAATATCGTTCTACGGGGAAGTTGGCAGCAGATAACAAAGGGGGAAGACCACGTTCCACCACTTCTAAAGAGGATTCTATGAGCGTCAGATCCGTCAAGAAGGATTCCTGGATATCATCAGTTGAGATACAAAAGCAATTAGAGCTGCCTGTATCGGACCAAACAATCAGACGACGTGGTGTTGAAGCCGGATTTCATTAAAGAAATAGAAGAAAAGACTCCTGTTTGCTACATCTCATATTGACTGGAATGTGCCGAAATGGCGAACTGTCCTGTTCAGTGATGAATCGAAGTTCAACATCATTCGTAGCGATGGCATTTGCCGTGTACGTCGAGCGGTCGGAAAACGCCTCGATTCAAGTTACTGCCATAAGACCGTAAAGCATGGTGGAGGCAATGTAATGGTCTGGGGGTGTTTTTCTGCTAACGGTCTAGGTCCAATACATCGAATTGATGGAATAATGGACCGTTTCATGTATAAAAATATCCTGAAAGATGTTGTGTTACCTCATGCTGAATGGAATATGCCAATAAAATGGGTTTTTCAGCAAGACAACGATCCGAAACATACTGCAAAAGTAGTCAAGCAGTGGTTTCAAGACAACCACCTATCGGTGATGGATTGGCCGCCTCAATCTCCGGATCTCAACCCTATCGAGAACCTGTGGGAGATCGTCAACCGCAGAATTAATCGTGAAGGTGTTCGTAATAAGGATCAACTGTTTGAACAAATCTAGAAGGCCTGGGCAGCAATTCCACAAAGTTTCATTGATCACCTGATCGAATCTATGCCTCAAAGATGCAAGGTTGTGATCGACAACAAAGGATTCCCCACGAAATATTGATAGCGAAATACGGCTTGGTCAACATTTTGTGGAGTTGCACTTGTTTTTCCAGAAGGAAATCAACTTTTTTTAATACTTTTGATTAATTTATTAATTTTCCTGTACAAATAATGAACTTTGTGATGAATAAAACTTGAATAACGTTGTCTCTAAACAGTTACATAGTTATTTCTCTAAACTGAAAAAATGCAGCACTTTTATATAAAGAAACTAAATTAGCATTATTTGATGCACTTGTTTTGTTTTGGCCTTGTTAACTCTGTTAGCGAGCATAATAAAGTTTTATCTTTAGCCAGGGTCATGAAAATAATATTAGAGTGTAAAATCTACATAATTTTTTTTTATTGCATTTCAACAAAAAACAATAAAGTAAAAGATTTAAATGATCACATAAGCAACCTTTGCTTCTGATGATTTAAAAAAAATAGTTTAATACAACCATTTAAATTTATTTGCAATTTTAAGTAAACGAATCTTATTTTAGTTATTTTAGCAAACTAAATTGTAGTTATAAACTAGTAAAGGTTATTATTAGAAAGAGTAAAGGTTATCATCAAGAATAAAGGTTAGAGCTTGTGAATTCAGTGAACTTCCTGGTTAAATACTCTTCCACCCTGCTGTGTTCTTGGAGCACCTTAATAGCTAAGAAAAAAAAAGAAAAACAGGAGCCCCTATTTACACAACAATGTTGTTATATAAATAGGGGCTGCAGTTTTAAAAGTAATTTTCTGAAAGTAACTAGATATTTAAAAAGAATATCTGCAGTAGAACTGCCACGAATGTTCGTTGACTATTTGGTATTTGGCCTATTCTGTTACTTTTTTTTCTATTCGTTATTCTGCCGAATATTGCAAAGTATTTGGCCGAATTCTAGATTGTAATGAAAAAAATGCATAAAAAAGAATTACATTTATATTTTATTTATTATTTTTATATTTGATACTTAAAATCTGTAAATAAAACATGTTTATTGTTTGATAATTGCGCTTTTCCTCATAAGTCGTTCATATTTCTAAAAGTAGCCATTCAACCCTGGAGGTTTTCTCGCTTTGTTTGACGTAATTTACTTTTCTTAATCATAAATTTTAAGATGTTTAAACAGGGAGATATAAAAGCGTTTTTGGCTAATTAGTGTTTCCATGTCAGACTGTTATGGCCTTGTAGGGCGCTACCAAGAGAAGGACCAATATTAATGTGCCTTGTTCAATCGGCTGCTTCGCTAATTTGACAGATGGTTGGATCAAAGAGATGCTGGTGTAGATTTAGGCTGAAAAGGACTTTAGCAAATTTAGTGCTTAAACTAGTTTCAAAGTCGGTGGAATTCATCTTGTCATCATGCCACTTGGCATCAAGAAAAATGAAGTAACCTGTATTTATCACACCTTTAAAACATTTTATTGACCACGGCCGTATTAGCATAGGATATAGCTTTTACCATTTCATCGAAGACCGAAGCATTGTTGATACGGGGGAAATAGATGCAACTGATTAGGAGAGATTCTTATGGAAGTTCAAGTTCGAGCCATAGCTGTTGTTAGATTTTAAATTTAAAACTTTGGTGTCGATTTCGTTAATGCTGCTCTTCAGCTACGCCTCCTTCACGACGTTGTAAATGAGAAGAGTAAGTGTTGAGAATTCTTTAAACCAGATTTTAGTAGTAAATTTGTTCAAAGTGGTAGTTTTATTGTTGAAAAAGTGGGAGACTTTATGTTAAATTATTTTCTACATAGTCCTTTATCTTGTTTTATGGATAAAGTATTTATTTATCTTTTTATAATTCTTCCAAAAGATGTAGAAATTCCAATATCTTTTAAGACTCGTTTGTAGTTCCATGATGGATTTTCATTATGAATGTGCAAGATTTTTTTCTACTTGCTTCAATGACATTTTAGTAAATTATAATTTGAAATTCATTTAAAAACTACTATCATTACTTAGAATATTATTATTTTTATTATTATTATTATTTTAATGTGTTAGCAATTTATTGCGGTTTTTGTTTTTCATGCTTTTGATCTCAGAAAGGTTAAATTTATGGCACTACAGGGCAATTTGTTAACAAACAGAAAATTGAAGGTTGCATTCGGGAAGATGTATATGTTGAGAAAATTCTGTTCTTGACTTGCTTGTTACGCTTCAACATATTGTAGTTGATACAGATGATATTATATGAGTTAATGGGAAACCTTCGTCATCTTTGTACTACAGACTTATACAATTTAAATATGGTAAAGAAAACAAAGAGATTATTGTTCAGGAGCTGAATCATATAAGAGGACAGGAATTTTAGGCATAACTAATGATAACACTGTTGTTAAACAATTCAAATATTTCATTGGGTGTTTGTAGATTTGGTGGATCTGGAACATCCAAATATGGTAATACGTCAAGATTCTCTGTTCTACATCTTCTTCATAAACAACCAACCGGATAGCATTGCTCACCCCATCAAATTATACGCAGATGAACACAAATCATGGGCATAGTCAAGGTGAATTTTGAGGCGCAGAATCTTCAAGCAGATACTGACTCTGCATTCGACTGGTCCATTAGATGTTAAATGGGTATAAGATAGGAAATGTCAGAAAGCTATTTTGAATTCTTTAACAAATTATTCGAGGTGAAAATTATATTAAGAGATGCGTAAAAATATAAATTATAAGGTCATATTATGTAAAAGGTAGGAAGTGTAATTTTGTTTATAAATTTCGATTTCAATTTTTTTTTTTTTGAATTTAAACAAAAATAACTAAACAAAAATTATCATCAAATTGTGTTATAAGACAGCTAATTTAATTTGACACAAATACAGTAAACATTTATAGTTTTGTTTTATTCTTAAAACATGCCAATAAAAGGTGTAGAGGAAAATAAAATACTGGTCCTAATTGACAAACCAAACATCAAAATGTGACACAAAAATATAACGTCAATCAATCATTTAAGAACTCTTTACCTGTTGAACAACAATAACATGCAGATAAGTTGTTTCAAAATATTAGGGCAAATAATAAACTTAATGCAAATAAAGGTTAAATTACTAATATCCTTAATACATTAAGAAAATACTATAGTTAGTGAAAATTATACAGGACTAATCACTTTATAATTGTATAGGAAAACTATACTGTGTGTATGTGTGTATGTAAATTAATATTAACCTCATCCATTATAAATGGATGAGATTAATAATACTTTGTTTATATGTTTTTTTACATCCGTTTTTTATCTATGTCTTAAAATTATTTATATTAATTTTCATAGATAATTGGTTAAAGTTCTTTTGCCCAAATATATATATATATATATATATATATATATATATATATATATATATATATATATATATATATATATATATATATATATAACCTTTACTTACTTTTTATTTTATTTTTTCTTAACAGGGTACTAGCTAGGGATGTCAATTGTACTTAATAGCTTTTTTATATTATAACACTTATTTCAGATTTTACCGTAAATTGAAATTTTTCTTTGACAATTAAAAAAAAAAAAAAAATAGTTTTGAGATTTCTAATAACCGGTTCGCCAGGTCTTTAAAAATTACTGAGCTGAGACAACTATCTTTTTTGTCTTGGCGAAAGTACCATATTATTTTAAGTGATCCGCCGAAATCTTTCAAGCGGTCCGTCTAGGGTTTGCAAAAACCAGGAATATTTTTATTCCCGGGATTCGGGGTTGTATGATTAATTCCCGGAATTTTGCGGGAAATCCCGGCATTATTTTATGCTTTAAAACTAAAAGAAAAGTCGTAATTTAATTAAGTATATTGCAGTAAAATGAATAAAACTTGTATTTAAAGTTATTTA